TGTGTGTGTTAAGGAAGCTGAAAGGAGTTGGATGAGCATCAGGGGGGTGAAGGTCAGCCAGGGAAAGGTCCACTGAATCCCTCACAATCCTGGGAGGGGTGCCGGTCCTCAGTCTGCCTATCCTCAGCCCCAGCCTCTCCCTCAGTGTCTGGGAAAGCCCGGCACTCGACGGGGCATCTCCAATCCGACCCCCAGGGGACGTGGTTTGGCCCATGAAGAGGGAGCCGGACAAGAAAGTACCAGTAGTGAGGACCACAGAGCTGGCTGAGATCAGGTGACTTCCATTTGCTGAGAAGATGTCAGAAGAAAAAAAATCTGTCTGACATTTATAATTTACATATATAAAATGATTTCCTGGACAAAGAAAAATACAGTAAAAGAATAAATAGAATATGAAAATGTATCTGAATTTGATACTAAAACTTTAACAAAAATGGTCAAACAAATAAAATGTGCTGATGACACTTAAATTACAAAACTGAATGCAGAAATTTAAATCAAAATAAAAGTGGTTACACTGGCAGCTCTTTCCCTCCCTACCCAAACGTATCCCAGTGACTCTGTGGTGTCCAGGCTCCTCTGGGTTTGCTTCTGCCACCAGCAGCTCCTCAACTGAGCCCTCCAACACTGTCAGCCTGGGAGTGGACAGCAGCTCAGACTGAATGAGACACAGCAGGCACACACAGTGTAATTAATCCACAAGGAAACACTCTGTTATAAATGCAGAACATGAAACCTTCTTTTACATCTGTGTAGGGGATACCTGAATAAATTCACGGTAGCGCTGGCGATCCAGCTGGGCCCTCGGGCCCCACACAGCAGGGCCCTTTCTACGATTCAGGATGGAGAAATGGATCCCGGCCCAGTCTCCTGCTCGACCACACAGCCCATCCAGGGCATCGACCTCCTTCACAAGCTGGCCCTTCCCTACTCCTCCTAGAGATGGGTTACAGGACAGGGCACCTGGAAAGAAAAGGCGTTGTCATTGGCCTTGATCACAACAACAAAACTGTGGCACCTGTTTAAAAAAATATCTAGATTGACAGACTGTGCTAAGAGGAAAATCAGCTTTTTGTACGGCCTCTATAATAAAGCCCTTCCCCTCACCGATAGTGTGTATTTTCTGTGAGACCAGGAGTGTCTCAGCTCCCACTCTGGCCGCTGCCGCCGCTGCCTCGGTCCCCGCATGACCCCCACCCACGACAATGACATCATACTGCTGTCTGGCAAGGTGACTGGAACGTCTGGAAACTAGTAGCAGGAAGCTCTGCAGGGGGGGAAGCTTCTTTGTCAACATGTGAGATGCACACCTGTAGAGTGACGGTAACATGGTCAGAAAGGTGGACGTGATGACTTTTTTCATGGCAGCTGTAGAGCGTGAGGCCAAAACTGCTTTAATCTTTAGTTAAATAGAACTTGATACTACAATGGACTATTACTCAAAAGTAAAAGTACTTATCACATCAGGCTTGACAGGTAATACTACTTCCTATAGTGCTGCTAATGTACCCCATTAAAATAAACAATGAATGAGGAACTATGCAGGGCCGAAGCTCAACGACTCGAGCAGAAATGAATCAATCGCTACATATGATGGACAGATAAAGGTTTACAGGGACCAAATTTTCACATAAAGTTCAGTTTACACATCACAAAACTCAGCTCCATTGTATTGTGTTTTTTGGGGACTCTGGAGGAGCTTACTGAAGATTGAACAAACAACTCTGGTGATGTCATCAGGGTTATTTCTCAGCTTGGGCTGGAGACTCAACATTTTAACAGGAAGCAAACTGGAGGTGTGGGGTTTGGAAGAGGTGGGCAAGGGCGGTCTAAAGCCATTGGTTGCATTATGGGAAATGTAGGCTAAGCGTTACTAAACAAAAGTTACTTATACTAGGGACTGAAAGTCATGATATCAATCTCGACATGTAACACTTCGATTTTGACTGTGTGTGGGGTTTTTTTTTTGGATTTTTAGAATCTGTCTCTTCTAGGTGCAAGACCAAATTGCTGGAATGCTCCTTTAATTGACAAAAAACCTAAGCCACTATTATTTAGGGAAGAACTACCTTCAAGATGTGTTTATTTGATAATAAAACACAAATCTTCGACGGAGTAATGTTAACACTAAGTAAAAATGCAATACTGACCAACCAACCAATAAAGTTACCTCCTGTGTTGGTATTGTTTGGTGTTGGTCTACCAAATCTACAAAGACAATAGCATTCTTTAGTTCATAACATTAGTGAGGTAGCTCTCTTCATTTAGACTTCATTTCACAAGAACATACTATATTTGTACGAATGTGTGGGTTCATTGCATCTAACAAATCAGCTCAAGAATTAAAGGTACTTACAATTTCAACAGACGAAGGAGGTTTGCTGTTGGCAGAAGAGAGTAAGATTAAAGGATATATGAAGACCCTTGGGAAACTCCTGCTATGTAACGCAAACGCTCTCTGTGAAGGCCGCCATGCTGTTTGTAGCTTACAGTCGTAATAACGCGTGTATAGACGCACTGACAAAGTTGCTGCATTAGCTTATTGATGAATTCATAAATGTGATGAAAAATTAAAGCAAGCAACAGCAGCGTTACACATGAAAAGGTGGAAGAAGGAATGAATAAATATCATGGTGATACATTGTATAAAAAAAAATAAAAAATATTGATGTTTTGTGTGGTGGGTTGACTGCCACGTGTACAGGAGAAACCATCAATATTCAGTACGAAATCATTTTTTTTAAATATAACTTTATTATCAAATACAATGAACAAGACCAAGAATAGTCGTTAATACAAATAAAGACAAGACATGGGGTTCATGCAAAAACATAAAACAAACAGCAAAAATTAATTTCTTTCTTTTTTTTTATTCAGATGGGCCTATAAATGTACTGCTCAGTTGCCTATATAGGCTTAAAGGTTTAAAATGACTAAATTTGGCTTTGTAGGCATGGTAGGGGAGAATGATCAAAAGATTCATTAAGAAAGAATCTTTGTTTTCTGTTACTATTATTGTGAAAACAGTGCATTTTCCCAACAAGACAGAATTCACTGTCAATGTTACCAATGATATATTCAGACTAGGGCTGGGCGATATGGCCTAAAAATAAAATCTCCGATTTTATTTACTTTAATTCAATTTACGATTTTTTCCGATTTCCCCCCCTACTTAAGGAAAGCAATAAGGTTTGTTGGTCAGTGCGGCTTTGTTCATCGCGGAGAGACTGGCATTTTTCATATTCGGCTGGATGTCTCTGTTTCAGGTGTTGGAATAGGTTTGTGGTGCTGCTGCCTTTCACTGCGATAGGCTTTAGGCAAATGTTGCAGCGTGGTGTCTGTTGTTCCACATCTGTCGCAGCAAACCCATACCAGTTCCAAACAACAGATGACTTTATTCCTTTCTTGGGAACAAACTTCCCGCTCTCACCGGTAGCCATTTTGTCGCTTGCTGTTGCTGTTTAGTGTATGATGTTGTCGCTATGGGAAACGAACACTACGGAAACCCCGGGGAGCCAAAAATGTGCTATTACACAAAAACTCGATTTACTTATTTTTTAAATCGCCCGCAACAAAAAATTCGAATTAATTCATTCAATCGATTTTTCGCCCAGGCCTAATTCAGACACATATTTCCAGAATCTGCTAGAATGGGGACATTGCTCCCTTCAGAGATGGGTTAAATGCAGAGAATGAATTTCGCTACATTTATGTGTATGTGACAAATAAAGTACCTTTACCTTTATTGCCAGGACAGCAACAAAGATCCGTTGTTGTTGAACAGTTTGGTTACGAAAATTGTGTTATTGTTGGACCAGTTTTTTTTAATAAAATAACAAAGTAACAAAACATATCTGAGGAGGTACGAAATCATTTTTTAAGCTTTTATTGACAAACAGCTTGGTAAACATAAATCACACAAGAGTAGACAATGCCAGGGGAACATAAGGTTGACAGAATAAAAACAAAAAATCACTAATCAGCACTGAAAAATATTAAACAGGGTAAATAGGTCTTGATGGCTTTCCTGTTTTAAGAGTGGGATTGTTTTAATGTAGCCTGCTGTTTGACTTCCTGTCAAAAATGGATTTAGATTTATGAATATGTGATTTTGCAAGCAATAAAATCAAAATGAGAAAGGATTTTCCTTGGTAAGTAAAAAAGCCAAACAACACATTTTCATAGGAAAGGGAGAATTCAGAGTCAACAATACTTTTGGAGATAAAGTGCAAGATAAATAATACACATCTTGAGCCATTTGAAAAATGGGTAGTTCACATCAATGTCCTTATATCTTTGTAGCAATACCTTGGAGGGATAATAATGATGCAACATTTAAAAGACACTTCCTTAACCTTATTTAGAATTAGATATTTAGAAGATAAGCACCAAATTTTCTTCCAGTCTGAAGTGACGTTATTCCAATAGGGAACAACATTTAACAGATATTCTTTTTGAAACAGAGCAGGTGGTTATTGTTTCTCATGTTAGAGGAGAAACAGATGTGGCCAACACAAGTAGCGCAATAATGTCTCTATTGTTTCAGATGTAGTAGCTATCTGTGAGGGGAAAATTTAAGTTTAGGAAAGGAGCAATTGTAAATTTGATAGTTTTATAGAGATTTTTTCAACATTGTATGCTAGCTGCAAAGTATGAAGACCTCCAAACTTTGAGAACAGAACCAAATTCCAGATTGAGGCTGCATTTCTTAAATACTGTCTTATCCAATTGTTGAGGGTAGAGCATATAGGCTACTGTAGGCTATGTAAAAAGGGTAGAGAAATAAAGAAGCCACCATAGGAGTTCATTAATAGCCTACTGATGTTCTAACATAGAGTGTTGTATTTCTCCATACAAAATTATAAAGTAAGTTATCAATAACCAAAGAGTTCCCTTAGTACGAAATCATTATCAAGTATCGATTCAACGCACACGTCACTCCGGCTCCCTAGTAGGCCGAAGGCGCACGCGCACGTCAACGCCCCCTCCCCCCTCCCAGCCGGTTTCCAGTCAGTCGCGCGCGGATTGAGTCAAGTGAACCTACCGAGAGGTGGTGTTGACCGACCGCAGCAGGTTTTCACTAAGAAACCTGAACAATCTTAACTTCCTGAGGCAACTGACAGTAACACTGATAGCTTGTTTTTTAAACGGAAGGGTCAGCGGTGCCGGAGTCAAGGCGACGCGACAGAGAAGAAAGTAAATCCCGGAGGGAAGCGAAGTGAAGATCAAAGCTAATGCTAACTCAGCTAACTTTAGCTGCTGCTAAGTAATTACACGGAAACGCGTGTAATTTTATTAGTCGCTTGCTTTGACACAACCGCTGTGGTTATACACTAGATAGTTAGGGGGATTTGTTTAGTTACATTTAATTAAAATAGTGAGGTATTTTGCCTTTACGTTTTAGGCCACAAGTCAGTGGTGTTAGCAAGATTAGCTCCAGTAGCCGGTCTTAGTGAGGTTACACCGGCTCTGCGCTCCTCGGGATAGGCGATATCGCTAAAGATAGTTCGCTTCACGTCGACAGGTTTCAGTGTTTCTTATAAGTTAGCTTACACTTTGTAACAGTTACTGTCTACGCTTCACGATGATGAAACAACAGCAGCAACCCGGCTCAGGCGGGAGAAAAGCGTCTAACGGGACCACGGGCCCCGGTGGAATGTCGTCTCCAGTCAGCGGCATCAACAGCGGGAACAGGACACCGGCCGGGAGGTAAGCGTGCTGGGGATGTGCTGTTAGGACAGTCCGGGGATTGTCTTGTGACTCAGAGGCCTACCGGTTAAAGCGCTGTGGGTGTGTCTCGGAAATAGAAGCTTATCTCAAGGCCAATGAGATTAGTTTGTGTTTGATTGACAGTGATTGTGGGCCAATCAGAATCCTCAAATTGAACCCAAGACAAAAAAGTGAGGTGGGTCCAAGTTTGGTGAAAGCAAAGAGGAGCAGATTAGCATACAGGCGAAACGAAGTTTATCTGTCCTGTCAGAGAAAGGACGTTGGTGTTTTGATAAAAATAAAAACATTTTTACGACAACACGTCTTTGTAGCTAAAGAAAGCACGATAAAGAAACGTTATAATTAATAATGAATATATTTTAGGGCCAGCACAAGGTCATGTGTGGCGTGAATCTGAGAGGAGTGTGTGTTTACTAAACTCTTGTCTCAGTCTTTGTTTTGTAACCGTGTATGTGACTAGCAGCAATATCATCCCATTTGATCATTCTTTATGGAGGTTTCATCCACATTGATCTCAATACCTTTTTGTTGCATGTATGAAGATGAAAGTTTGCTCTAATCAACGTTTTCAATTCAAGTCTAAATGTTGACATGGTTTAAATGTGGCTGTACCTCTTCCTTTTATTTCTTGAAGACATTAAATATTTTTAAAGGGAACAGTAAAACTCAAACATGCTTTTCCTGATGTTAACTAATATTGAAGTTTTCTTTAAGGCTGAAAATAATACGACACCATACCTCCTTATAAAAATGCCTCTGTTCAGATGCCACTGTTTTTGCTCTAAGCCATAAAGTTTGACAGTATCAATAAGGTTTATATTCACAATAGGTGATTCTAGAGAACAAGTCTTATGTGCAGTAGGAATGCTGATTTGGGAACTCGTCAGGCGTCCTATGTAAGCTTGTCCACTTCTCAACTAGCCATATGTTGTAAATGAGCAATGTGGAATAGTCACTGCTTTAACTGTCCTTAAAAAACAAGTTATTCTCCTTTGTCTTCTAAGCAGACAAAGGCATTTTAACTGTGCTGTTTCTCACAGGAATCGAACTTCTGCAAAGCCGTCATTCCAGTCATCTCCTGTGAGTATATCGATGCTGACAAGTTTTTATGTCTTGTCTTAGTGAAACGTCTCTTGATGGATACTTTAAACCCTTTTCCATCTGCAGGTGTTCGAGGGTGTGTACAACAATGCCAGAATGCTTCATTTCCTCACAGCTGTTGTGGTAAGTCATTTAGCTTGTTAACAGTGTTCTTCTGGAGGTCACTTCATCTTCTTTGATTTCTTTCTTGTATGTTATATACTGCTTTGTTAAAGCACTTGCTGTAAAAAGCACTATACAAAAACATTTCACTTACTTACTTCTCAGACCAGGATGATTATTGTAGGAAATGAATGGTAGTGAAGACTTACAGCAGCTGAAATAGGGTTAAATCCTTGTTCCATCTGGCCATGAAAAACTGCCATATATTACTTTTGTCTGTAAAGAAGCACACTGCGCAGTGTACAAAATATGTTTAATCCGCAAATGCTGTTCTAGTTTTGGGTGTGTCACTGATCTAAATAGCAATTTGTTTCTGACTTACTTTTCTGGTGAAACAAGGTCCTTAACAAAATCTTTCTCGCTCTCAGGGTTCCACCTGTGACATAAGAGTGAAGAATGGCAGTGTATTTGAAGGCATATTCAAGACTCTCAGTTCTCGGGTAAGAAGCTCATGTTGAGCACAAAGGTATGCACTTCCCTGTGCCAATTTAATGAAGCTCTGCAAGTAATCCTGTCACTATAACGGTAAACTTATGTCAAGGAAAAATGTGTCTTTTTTTTTTTTTTTTAATTGTTTAATTTCTGCTCTGTGAGTTCACACAGTCCTCAAATTTCTGCTGCCATCCCAATGTTTGGTCCTTAGTGTGAGTTGGCTGTGGACGCTGTACACAAACGCAGCAAGGAGGAGGAGGGCCCAACATCAGCTCCGCCACGGAGGGAGGAAATCACTGACACCATGATCTTCAGCCCCTCGGACCTGGTGACTATGATCTGCAGAGATGTTGACCTCAACTTTGCCACCAGAGGTACAAACACACACATGCTGGGGGGCCAGGGTAACAGGGAAAGAAACAAATACAAGTTCTTCACAGACCTGCAGTGCATTTGTAGCGAAGACATGTAGTTCCTCTTTTAAAAAGAAAAGAGGACTGAAAGTAAGCATTAGATTGCGTTCATGCTAAGAGCATCCTTGAGTTATAGTAACTGGTTTTCCAAGTGTTGTAAATTTTGACAAAGTGCACAGTTCGAATAACAAGGAGTAAAGTCTCTGAGCTGACTTTGTTTGGCTGGTTTAAATTGCCTCTTGATTTTGTGAAAAGGGGAGAGAAAATAATTGATTTGAAGTCTAGGCTCCAGTTTTTTGCAGTACGGTTAGAAGTAAGCAAATAATAACAATGTTACATAATGTCATGGTTTGAATCAGACCCAAATGCAGGTGGGCACAAACTCTTGCCAAAGGTAACACTTTTTCTTTTTTTTCTTTGCTTTTAGACACCTTCACAGACACAGCCATCAGCTCTAGTCGCATCAATGGAGATCACAAGGAGAAGGTCTTGCAGAGATGGGAGGGAGGAGACAGCAATGGAGAGAGTTATGATCTGGAAAATGATGCTGTGAGTTGCACTGTCTCTTTAACCCATACAGAAACACCAACTAACGTACTTTTTATATATACACATACAGTGTTTTTTTCAGTTGATCATTCATACTCAATCTTTTTAACCCATTAGTCTGATATGCCACAAGAAATAAAAAAATTTTTAAACTGTTGTACTTATTAAGCATTATTATAAACACCAATTATTTATCCACACCAATAATCTCCCTTTTTTAATTGTTTTGTTTTTTTTCTTCTTAAGTCCAATGGTTGGGATGCCAATGAGATGTTCCGTTACAATGAAGTGAAATACGGAGTCACGTCAACATATGATTCCAGCCTCTCCATGTATACGTAAGTTTCCACATAGATTCATTGCTTTCACCATTTCTTGATAAATTATTATTACTAAGATTACTGTAAAAGTTTTTGCAAGGAGACCAGGAGAAAAAATTGGAAGTTGGTACTCTGAGTAGTGAGACTTTACATATATATCTTTTGTATTGTACTTTTGGCAGCATCTCTGGTATAATTACAAATTAAAAGTGAGAATCTGTTTACAATACTATCCAACGAAGGTTAAAATCAAGGGCAACTGGACTTGGTTGAAGATACTGGAAGACGTTTCGTCCCTCATCCAAAGGACTTCTTCAGTTCTGACTGACTGGCAGGGAAACTCAGCTATTTAACCTCAGTGGGGTCGTTGGCCCGGGTCATCGATACCGGGGAGACTAAACAACCACTACACAAACGCATGGCTCAACACAGAAGAGCCAACTCCTCAGGTCAAGACTCTGCAGTCTACTTACATTTGAAGGACAGAGGACACTTGTTTGAGGACCACCAGGTGCACATTTTAGACAGAGAAGATGGATGGTTTGAAAGAGGTGTCAAGGAAGCCATCTACACCCGGGTTGAGAAGCCGTCATTGAACAGGGGAGGGGGTCTACGCCACCACTTATCCCCCACTTGCAATGCTGTCCTTTCATCACTTCCCAGGAAACTCAAACGTAACCTATTGGCCTCAGGTGAAGATACCAACGATGGTCGTTCAGTCTTGGCCACAGGTAGTCTTAACGACTGTAACGACTGTCGTCACAGCAACAAGGAACACTAACGAACCAGCCGTATCGATGCCCCGGGCCAACGACCCCACTGAGGTTAAATAGCTGAGTTTCCCTGCCAGTCAGTCCGAACTGAAGAAGTCCTTTGGATGAGGGACGAAACGTCTTCCAGTAGCTTCAACCAAGTCCAGTTGCCCATGATTTTAACCTTCGTTGGATAACTATGACCTGGATGACTGAGAATCTTCATAGACATTTTACAATACTATCATCCTTAAATGGCAGTATTGTCCACTTATGTCATTGTTGACCAGGAGTTTACAGGTTGTCATTCTTACCACATACTGTACCACTCCTGCTGACCTCACTAGTCAATTCAACTTAAAGCAGAGAGCAGGAAAACATGTTTCTTTGTCTCACCTTCCTCCTGCTGTCCTGCAGTGTGCCACTGGAGAAGGGCAACTCCGAGGTCTTCCGACAGAGGGAGGCACGCGCTGCTCGCCTGGCCAGTGAGATTGAGTCTAGCCCCCAGTATCGCCATCGAGTCGGCCTGGAAAATGATGAGTGCAAAACTGAGGAGGACAAGTACAGCGCTGTGGTGCGGGATGGCGGCGATCGCGAGAGGGGCCGTGAGAGCCCCCGTGACAGAGAGCGCGAAAGGGGCCGAGACAGCCCTGGAGCCAGCAACAGGTTGGGAGGGGCCACTTGTTTCTTGGGCATGTAGTTAGTGGTATTTGTCTCATTTTAGATTACAATCCACCTAACTGTAATACAGTGTGATCCGTAGGTCGTTGTCACAGCAGAAATTTTGACATGTCATTGTAAAAACAACGGCTCTCTTCTGTTCAAGTTAGGTCTGGGCGGTATATCGGTATAATGAGGTATACTGATATAATTTCAAAAGACATATAAAATTAGACACTTTTTATAGTTTATACCAATATAGTTTGATGTTGAGTTAATGTTTCCGTAAAGTCTTGCCAGCGTTTGCTCCTCTCTCTCACCCTCATCGTGCAGCCCCGCCCCTCCCTCTGCGTCTACTCACAGTCTGTAACAACATGGAGGGAGAGACTGCTGAAGATTTGGTTTGTAAAAAACAGGGTTCATTCAGTGTTTCCCACACATTCACTTTACTTCAGCGGGCTGCCCGGGTTAGGCGACACAGTGTAGCATTTATCAGAGAAACACAAAGGGATTACGTTACAAGTAGATGTGTTTGCAACAGATAATGTTATGTCTGTGGGTGTGAAGAGAACTGAAGGAGGCAGATTCAATAAGTGAGTGACACTTAAGATGGAAAATCAAGTATAATTTAAAATGGTGAAATAATAAACGAGCTAAATTACTTCAAATGGTAAAAACATGGCCGCTAAAACAGACAAAAACCTGTTAAACCTGTGAGTCAAACATTAAGACCAACAGCAAGATGGAAATGTCTAGGAGAAATTGTATAAATGGTGATAACCAGTAAGCCACAGAAAAAATATTCAAATAATAATATTTCTGAACACTTTAAAGACTTCTTGCCAGTTTTGGGGTTCAAAGTTCATTCTTGACTTTAGAAATGGTTTGGAAGCAGTTGACAAAACAATCTCATTCTTAGGTCCCCTAAGTGACTATTGTGGAGCTTTCAATTCAGCTTATAGGTGATGTGTATTATCTTTGTCTTTCAGGGAAGGCAAGTACATTCCATTACCTCAACGCCAGAGAGAGATGAACCGGGAGCGAGCTGAGAGAGGCCCTGGAGGACCTTCACCCCACAATCGTCTAAGCACAGGTTATCGCTCCACCCCTCCATCCTCCTCTTCCCCAAGACCCCCACTGCCTTCTGCGGCCGGGCCCCAGCCCGGCGCCTCCCCCTCAGAGAGAAGCAGCCCCTTGTCAGGCCGAGGCGGGGCCTATGCTGCCCACCACCCCCAGGGAAGCCCAAGCCCAGGCCCGGGCTCTCCAGGAGGACCAGCACCCACGCCAACCTCTGCTTCCACTGCCCCATCACCAGCCAGCTCCCCCGCCTCACACGGACACACAGTTTCTCATTCCCACTCACTCCCACACTCGCTGTCTGACGCTGGCAGGCCTGTAAATGGAGGTAAGTGTGTGAACTTGTGATAGAACACTTGTGCTAAGGCAGCACGAATTGTGACAGATTGTAAATATTTTGCTTTGTGCGTTTTAGTCTCTGCCAGAACATCGCCTAAAGCCCAAAGACCTCCACAGTCGAGCAGAACAGTCCGCACGTCAAACTCTCACTCTCAGTCCACAGGTACATTCAGTCCACTGCTGTTACAAATTCCTCTTCTATAATATAATATTATAATGGATCTTGTCTAAAACCTAACCTTTATTTTTCCTTGTTCTGCCCTTGCAGCAACTCGCTCTCCTAAATCAGGCTCTTGCCAGGACATGCCTTATTTGGACACATCGTCTGTCTCCATGCCTGCCCAGAAGACGTCTGGCCCCGCCCCACTTTTCCCCGTAGATGGTACCGTCTCGTCTGTCGTTTTGTTTTATCGTTAAGAGTTTAAAATCAAAGTCAAAACCATTTTTTCTGTAATGACACAAGCTTCATCTGCCCCAATGAGAAACGAGTCACCTCATAGCAGTGAGCAACAACTTTTGAAGGTGGATTCTAATGAAGCGATACAACTAATTAGTTTGTCGTGTGTCTCATCTTTAGTGAATGAGATCCTTGGCGCAGCTGCGAAAGAACGCTCAGCCACCGAGAGCCCCAGCAGCACAGAGGAAAGCAAGAGCACTAAAGGTGTGTGTACAAGACCTTAAATTGGTAGCAGCTAAATGCTGGAAATATGTTTTGTTTTGTTTTTAAATTGGCCACGAGTCAGAGGACATACAATACACTTGCCTAATTGCATATCCTGTGTGTTTTTGACAGCATGCACTGCGTTTGCCATTGTCACATTTCACATTAACCTTGGTTGCTTCTCTCCTGCACCAGCTCCCTCAGGTCAAAGGTCGCAGATTGAAGAGCTGCGGAAATTTGGCAAGGAATTCAGGGTAAGACTGCAGTTTCCTTTCCGTGAAGCGTGAAATGAGAAAATCTGTGACCAATCAAGAGGTTGTGACCTCGGACATCACTGATGTTAGATGACGTCTGTTTTTTTATTCTCTTCCTCGTGTTATTCACTTGGTTGTGACCATTAACATATTTCAGATAACATTAAATACCTGTTGGTTTACTCAATCTTCACAGGATGCTGTGAAGGTCAGGACAGTATGTTAATGATAGTATACTCACTTTTTAATGCAATGCTTCGTAGTGTAAAATTAGTTGTATATTCTGCTTTCTATAGTGCAGTTGTTTGCAGTGTGTGACTATTTACTGTTGTACTTTTTACCCCCGGGTGGAAGAGGTGAAGTTCAGACATGTCTCATGTCTCAACATTTTGATTCATAAGATTCTGTAAGGAAAATACTTGTGCAAAGTATTTACTAAAACTTAATATTGTATAATTGCAAATCTGTTATAGATCCATTTTATTGGACATGTTCTCTGCTTACGGACATTTATCTAGTGGCTATTGGCTGCTCAGTCACTAGATGTGGTAGGTTAAAATTCCAGTAACATGAAGTGTCTCCAGATCAAAAGCAGGAAAAAGGTCTGTGCCTTTAGTGGAATATGTGAGGCTCCATTTAATTACATTTATCTGTTTGCTAAATCTTTCCTTACTTTTTTCTATTTTGCAATCGCCCCCATTCCTTCTTATTTACCTATCTATCCTCATCTTCCTCTCTTTTTTCAGCTCCAGGCGAGTGGAGGCAGCTCTAGCTCTCCCAGCTCCCCAGCAGCAGCAACCCCTCCTGCCATCAGCGATGCTGCCCAACCCAGTGCAGCCAAACCCTTGTTATCAGACGCTCATCCTGAATCAGAGCCCAAAGCTCAGCTTCCAGTTTCTAATCCTTCCCAACCTCAGCCTTCACCAGCCCCGGAAGACCCCACCAAGGACCCCGCGATTACACCCGGCGCCACAACAGCTGCCACGACAGCACCCGTTTCAGACAGGCATTCACCGGCCGTCCCGCAGCCAGCCAGGACCCCAGGTAGTGACGACGCCAGGTCTGAGACAACGGAGCGGCCAGAGGGCATGCCAGAGTGAGTTTTAAAAAGGATTTAGATTTTCCCGTAAAGAGTTTCTATTTAACTGACTTGTGTCACTGTCATTGTCATATGTTAATGTTTCTTTTTTCAATATCCTCTAGCCAAGTAAAGAAATCAACCTTAAATCCCAACGCTAAAGAGTTCAACCCTGTCAAACCTCAAATGCCTATGGTAAGGCAGTATTCCTGATAAATCTTTGAAATGGGAAGGCAAATCATTATCTTGGCTACAACTAGTAGAGTGGTACTTGTGTAGTACATGTAGATCAGGGAATTTATTAAAGTGCAGTTAATTTCATCCCATGATATCAAAAACTACACACAAAAATTGTTTTGTCCAAATACTTATTGCAGCATATATTTTATAGTTAATTTTATAGTGAACAACCCATTGGCACCGTCTTATTATTTCACTTATTGTAACATATGTAGGAAATGGTGCTATACTGAGAAATAATGTGTTGAACCCCCCTGTGGGTTACGTGGGTGACATGCATATTTATTTTCCTGTGGTTGTATTATCATGCAGACGAAGCCCAACACTGCGCCCACCCCACCTCGGCCAACTCCTCCAAGCCCAGTGGTCCTTCAGCACCCAGGTGGACAGGGACAACTCTACAACACTCCCTACCTCTCCTATGTATCACAGATCCACTCTGTGCAGGTACATGAGACAGAAAAACGTTAGTTGTCGCTTACCAAAGACATTTACACCTTGGTACAAATTGTTGGCACGTAACAACAACACGATGAACCTAACTAATTTATCATACCAGGCACGTTAGCATTTGTATTCATGATTTTAGAAACAAATTTAAATTTACTGTTGTTTTCATTTCATGGAAAATCTAAACACAAATTTAGTACAGCAGCTTGACTGACCAGTTACATTAGACTAGAAGTTATTAGGGCTACAACAATTTATTTCTATTATCGATTAATCTGAATATGCTGATTATTTTCTCAACAATTTAATCTGTAAAAAGTCACAGATAATATAAAACTGCCCATGACAGTTTTCCTGAGCCAAGTGTGACACTTTCATAGGTCTACTTTTTTTTTAGGATTTTATCATAAAAATGTAAAAAAAAATCCACAAATATTCCCATCTGAGAAGCTGTACTTTTGCTTTAAAAAATACTGAAATTATATGACTTATTGAAATATATGGCAGTAATTTTCTTTTGACTGACTAAGAGCTTGAGCTTTAAATTACTCCTCACAATGCAGACAAAGCAGTTTTTCTTGTGTTGACTACTGACCGTTTCTCTTTTTCAGCCCCCACAAATGTTCCAGTACACCATGTCCACAGTCAGCCAGGGAAAATACCCCAGGAACAAAGGTAAATGCAGCATTTTTCGCTCTAGTCCTGTAAGTCTGTGGTTTTATTTAATTTGTTGTTTCCATTTTAGTGCTTCTAAAATTAATGTCCTGTCAACTCTTGTCAAGAGCATGAAATCCACTTGAGTGAACAGAGTGCTGACACTGGAGCCTTTCAGTTGAACCTTAAATTGTGCCTTTACCACTGTTTCTGTACCGAGAGTGCAGTGACATCAACTTTTAAATTTAAAAACATCTCACTGTATCTGTATGTTTGATGTGTAATGTTTTTTCCCTCTGCATCACTGCTGTTTTTGATAATTATTTGCCTCCACCAGGCTCAGTAGTGGCTCAGCGCTCTGACCATGGTACTTCAGCAGCCCCCATGATGCAAGCTGCAGCGTCAGCAGCTGGGGCCCCACTGGTAGCGTCCCCCTACCCTCAGTCCTACCTTCAGTACAACCCACAGCAGTACAGCCAGCAGCAGGTCATCCAGGCCATGACACCCTACCCTGGGCAGGTAGGACGTCTAGACTCATTTTATAATTCAGGTTTCAACTGGTTAGCAGAATGTTTTCAGTAGCATTAAAATAAAGATCATTTGATTATCTGTTGCTGATCGCTTAATCAGCAGAGATTAACATTTACCTCTACATATAAAACAGATATAATAATTTGCTTAATCGTTCTTATCTTCCATCCCCCTTCTCCAGCCGATGTACTCCATGCTGCAGGGTGGGGCCAGGATGATAGGTCAAGGTGGGGGTCCCCATCCGCAAGCTCTGGGACCCCCAGGAGGCCCCCAGTTCCCTTCACAGGGAGATGGACCTCAGGGCCCACAGCAGGGAATCTACGGTGAGTGGAACGAAACCTGCTGAATGATTGATGTGAAACACAAAATGTCTTATGCAAGCCGAATACTAATAGTAAATGTCATCCTTCCATTAAGAGTTTTACTATAATATTGACAGTGAAACAACAGCATAAAGACACATCTTCATACTGATGATGTCTTTTTCTGTGTAGCGCCACAGTCCTTCTCCCACCACACGGGTGCAGTTCATCAGCCTCAGCCCTCCAGTACCCCAACAGGCAATCAGCCCCCTCCCCAGCACGCCGCACCTAGCCCTGGACAGGTGAGATACCCCATACAGGACTGCTTGGATTTCCCAAAATATACCAAGACACATTTGCCAATTTCAAAAACTAGTGTAACTTCCATAATACCCGTATTTACAGTGCACACTGGTATTTGTGGCTTCTGTGGTGATAAACTTGGAAATGTAGTCAATAGGAGTGGAGAAAAACACACCACTACTTTGTCTCATGTGGGGAGAAGGTTTAGTGGAGCATTCAGGTCCTTTAAAGGACTCACTTTCGTGGGCCATGTCCTTCAGGGGATCCAGCCTCTGGGATGCAGGTATTGTGATTCATTTATTATTTCTTAACATTTGACATTGTGATCTCTCCTTTCAGAATGCCCAGTCAGGCCCACAGCCCCAGTCCTTGTACCACTCAGGTCCCCTGTCAGCACCCACCCCACCCAACATGCAGCCGGGCCACACGTCTCCACAGGGCTCTTACCCCATTCAAGGCTACAGCATCCACAGCCACCAGGGCATCCCACAAACATATCCCCTGGGACAGCTAACACCGGTATAGATCCACAGTGCTGATACGTTTTCTGCTGTGTGGTTAATGTACCTTTTTTGTGCCTCACTGCAAATTAGTTATACATTTTGCATGAAAATGTGATTATTTTTTTTTATTTATTTATTTTTTCCTTTTGAAGTTTTGCTTAACTTGGAAAGTTTTATCTTGATCTAAACTTGATTTATCACTCTCCTGTCCCGCCAGGCCCACGTACAGGGAGCCATGTCAGGTCCCCACCATTCGGGGGGCCATGGTCAGCCCCAGTTAGTGATGTTGCAGCCGCCCCCTCAGCAGGGCCCTGGGTCAGTGCCCCAGCACCCCCAGCACGGACCTCAGCAAGGAGCACACCAACACTTTTACATAGGACATCCACAAGGTACGAAACATGAAGCAAAGTAAAATCCTTCCCTTGAGCGAATAAAGACTACTCAGATTCTATGTGGTTTGAAGTATAGCATTTATAGTTTTTGTTTTTGTTTACCTCCCACAGCAATGCAGGTACAAACACACCCTGCTTCCTTCCATCCGCCTGGAAACTAAACCCCATCTGCCCCTCCCCTCCCCTCCCCCCTCCCCTCCTCCTCCTCCCAAACTGTTCCCAGGAATGAGCCCCAACATCCCCACTGCCTGCTGGATGTGAGGCCCAGACTGAACGCGACCCATAAAAAAACTGACAGGATCGTACAGAGGAGAGAAGAAGTCTCACAGCACCTTATTCTTCTGCTGTAATGTTCGTCATGGGTACAAACCTCGGTGTCAGCCCCAGGCAAGGAGGACCTTCTTAATGCTAATGATGAAAGTGGCAGACGACTACAGCAGTGTCCGACCCCTGCTGCTGCCGCCATCCTGCTATCCTCTCCAACTTCAAGTTTTTGGAGACATGAGGCACCTTGCTGGGTGGACCAGTCGGAGTGGGTCGGGGGGGGGATGAAAAACGTCAGTAGGCAATATGTTTTAAGCCTTGTGGGGTTTTGTAAGTACTGTGACACACATGTGAAACAGACTGTTGCGGGATGAATACAGCATAAAAGGAGGGATTTGAAGAGGGTTTTTTTAGCAAATCATTTTTCTTTAACTCGATCCAGTAGTTAAAACTACCCCTTTGTCCTTCTTCTCTCCTGTAGGAAATACAATTAATAAAAAAAATGGACAAGACAAAAAAAATATTAAAACAACAATGACCAAAAAAATAAAGTTTTCAACTCAACTACAAAGCTTTGTTAGTTTCTTTTATTGTAATAATTGTGCTTGTCTAGAGTATTGCAGTTACAGTTCTGCTCTGTGCTGCAGGAAATAAGTATGAGACACAGAAGTGTATTTTTCATTAGACAATAACAAGAGCACATTTAATTTGAAGCTTACTAGGCATTCGCTATTATGTCAGGCTGACAAAACGAAGTAATTACCTCATAGGGAACTTTTTGCATTCTTTCCACATTCTCATTAGCTTGAATTCGTTCCACTCAGTGGTGCAACTTTGCATGTTAATTTGAAACGTTCACTAGGTGGCGCCCTCTTTATACACCAGCTTCAGTGTCAACATCATGAGGCACACAGTCCTTGTGGCAGAGATGACTCTTTGGGTTAGTGGGACACGGCTTCCCCTTCAGGCTAATATGACACCACACTTTGTGAGAGCAAGGCAAGTTTATATAGCACAGTTCATATACATCAATTCAAATCACTTGACGAATGAGTAGATGGAACATAGAAAAAGATAACACCACTCTAGATTGATGCACTAACTAATGCCAACTAGCTCTATGTCAATGTGTCTGCATGGCCTCAGTTCAAGATGCTTGGACACTGTCAGTGCAGCTGGCTGTGGTGGCAGTGTGACAGGGCATAGAGTTGCTCTGCGCTGCGCTCCAGTCGGTTCCGGTACTCCAGGTTGGAGTAGTTGCCTTCAGGGACCCCCTGGGTGCCGTACAGAAGACCCCAGCAGCAGCAGGCAATCACTGCTGTGCTGTCACTGTCGCCTGGGCAGGAAATAGAGAACAGCATGAGCATAGTAAGTCCTCTAATGACGCAGAAGTCTAGTGTAAATATTATCAATTATGGGGTTTTAAGCAACTATAGTAAATATTGTTATATCAACAACATATCAAAAGTTTTGTATAGCATGAATGGGGTCGCTCATAGTAATAAACAAGGACAATATTCACCCATCTCTTTTCAGCTATGGAGCTTTTAGCATCTTTTGTTTGTGGGTTTTTTTTTGCCTGCACCATTAATGTTTTGCTTCAGTCTCACCACAGACAGACAGTTAGCTACTAGCTAGTAATGTATACAGTGGAGCATTTATTAGCTAAAGAGACAGATATTTTTCTCAGGATTTGCTGGTGACCAAAAAGAAAGTTAAGAGAGAGTCAATATTGGACTTGTGTGTGCCGGGGGGCCAGAAACAGACTCCAAATGAATGCTAATGTTGCTCCATATCTATTCTGGACATGTAAATGGATTTAATTGTTGGCTAATAAGATCGCTGTTGACTTAAAACGAGACTAAGTTACTTTTTCTGGGAAAAACACATTCCTACCTTTACAAATGAAAACTTGAATACATAAAGGAGTAAAATTAAATCATACTCAATTTATTACACACTGAGATTTTGCTGCAACAGCCTTACTTGGTCTGGTAAGACCAGTAGATCATGTTAGCATATGTTAGATCTATGTTGCTAGTTGGGTTACTGTAATACATTCTTTGCAAACACAGTGGAAGTTGTTAAAAAACGTTTCATTGTCTTGCTTTACAAAGTCAAATTTATACATATGTCATTGTTGTATTCACAAAAATCACATAACCCAGGTTTAAATTAAACAAAACCATGGTTTAAAATATATTCCAGAGGTCTTTCAACTACATTAACATGATACTCTTATCAGCTTTAGGTAGGCTGACAATTATTGAATATATTCTAACACAGATACCTTATTTATTTACGTTAGGAAAGACAAATTGTTTATCACACATTATTTAATGATTGGAAACTGTAAATCTGACTCAGATGACAAAAATATGTATCAGTAATTTATTTATTTTTTTAACCCTTTACACCACAAACCTTTCTCTTACAAAATGATCACAGCAATAGGAGGAGTGTGATTTGAGATACTGGGTTTTCCATCTACTGCAAAGGGAGGGCGTATTAATCTTTGCAAATGTACTGTTGTATCACAGTAACTATCACAGCTATGGCACCAAATCAGACCATCTGATATGATGACTTAAATTCCCAGGGTTCATAAGCAGAGTTTTGTTAATGCCAGCCTTTGTAGTAATGACTAAAGAAGTTTCCTTTCTACCTCATTTGTGGCGCCTCTACAAAGCTGCTTCTGTCCTCAAGACAATGACAGATGAAAACCAATTAGAGTTTAGGCCATATGGCTTGTCTGAGCAAAAAAGTGTCCTGACTGTAGATGAGATAGCAGCTGGGAACACTGTTTAAAACAAGATAAGAGGAATGTTTGCATAAATGCAAAAATTAATTATTTAAGTCCACCTGGTTTATGAGTAGAGGTGCTATGATTTTCAAGCTAAAGGCTGGGTTTAGGGGAAAAGACCTTGCTTAATATTAAAACAGACTATATTTAAGAATTACTGTAGGGATGGTGAAGTTTAGGTATAAAGTTAAAAATACTTACGTTTAGGCTACAGATGTTTGAGATTTGGTAACGGTTTGGTGGGATTAAGTTTAGAGCAAGATATAAGAATGCCAAGACAAAGACATTTTCTTGTTTGAATCTCTGACCTCCGTGGAAGCCCGCTCTGCTCATCAGCTCCTCCCAATCTGAACTCGCCCCCAGCAGGGCGTCCAACGCTATCATCGGAGCATCGTGGCCACTGCGTCCCGCCCATCCCGACAGGCTGAAGCTCTTGTAGGCGTCGTCTCTCTCAGCTGGGCCGTAGGAGGAGGGCCAAATCACAGGCCCCACCCCGTTAGAGATGCCCCTCAAATCCAGGTACCTGTGGACATAAGTAAGAGATTTTCCTGACATTCACACCATCCTCCAGTGTAATGACATTCTCCAGAAGTGAAAGAAATGACTCATTTGAAGGTTAATAGACATCCTGTCATCATATCATTTAGTAGATGTGGTGGACACAGCTGTTTATGTCAACAGTATATATAGATATATATACACATCCTTTAAGGTAGACAAGTAAGTAATATGTGATAAGTAATTTGTGTATGTCTCTTATATTGGAGCAATACCTTATGATAAAAATGCGTTCAGTGTTGCTGACCTGAACTGAACCCGTGACATTTTAGTACAAATCTCATGCCATAACATATAAGCCTTGAGACTGAAATAGGTTAACAGAAAGTTGCTGATGCTGGAAACCTGAATTTGACATGACAGCCTAACAAAGCCTGATTTCAGCAGTTCATACCACTGCCACTTGTCACAGAAGTAGCCCCAGTCTCTCTCCGTCTCCTCCACCGCGAAGCCTCGACCTTGAACAAAGCTCTTTGCTATTGGACAGGCCTCGTTGATAAGGCCTAGACCCCAAGTCGTGATTGGCCTGCGCTGGACGGCGTATGAAGTAAAAAGGGCCGATGCTACGGCTCCCAGGAAACCAGTGGGGTGAGGATGGGTCATCCTGCCTGTCTCCACTGCAACCGCCACCAACGACAACAGCTGGTCGGGCTTTGGATACCTGGTGGGGGCAAAGTATTAACGTTCTTATCAGCATTTATTATGGAGGATATTTAGCTGACGTTTTCTCAATAAACCTCATGAGGTCCATCACACAGCAAAGAAATAGGTTTAAGCATTCTGGACCACTTTTGGATACAAATTGTGTTTACACTAATTACTTCTTTTAATACCTTACATTTTAACCCTGGAACTCCATTGTTATTTGTTATTTTCTGCTTAGTGAAGAAAGTATTACACGGCTGCATTTATTATAAATTACTTTGGATAAGAGCATCATCATCCTAAGTGAAGATGAAGAGAACCTGCCTGACAACAAAATGTGAAACGATTTGTGGCTTTATTAATTAGCTGATTTTTTTAACAAAATGAATAATTCATTTTGTTAAATTAATCCTTTAAATCATGTTTTTAGCACAAATATCACACACTCTCAGATTCCAATCTAAAGATTAGCTTGTTGTCTTCTTTTCAACATTTTACGGACTAAACCATCAAGATTTATCGACAATAAAAAAAATAATTTGTTCCCTCAATGCTTTCTGAGATAAGACTGAGATACTTTTTGTCCTAAAAGTCCTAAAAACCAGAGTGAGGAAATTAATTCACACTTCACACACACAGTTTATCACTTTAAAACATAATAAGATTTAGAGAAACTCCTTCATGTTACCAGGTGAAACTACTGTAATGCTGTCTTTGCACTGCTATAACTGTGTGCACATTCAAAAGCAAACTGATAACTGTACTGGATGTATGTGTCTGAATGTGAGGGGTGAATCTGGGTTCCTTACTGTCTTTTAGTGGATAGGTGTTTACATGTGCATTTTACCATAAAGCGCATCAAAACCCTACTTAAATCAATTTGTAACATGTTTTCTTTTCTCTACGTATCCCTCAGTGAGTCATTAAAATACCTGCTCGGGAGAACAACACTGCAAGGTCAATGACAATTTAAAAAAACAAACAAAACCAAACCCATGAAGAGCTCAGGCAAAAGACAGAACATTGAATGCAAATGCACTCAGTTATTATATATAAGTGTCTTACCTGAGGCCAATGCACATGGACCTCATGGCCGCGCCACAGCCCGTCCCCTCTGGGTTATATGGCACTCTGTAGCCCCCTTCATGTCCAGGTTTCAGCTGGGAGACTCCTAAAAGAGCAAATGTAAGTAAGTCAGATCTCTGCCATCACTTACAATAAATTTGATTTTAAAATGATTACTTTGTCTCACCCAGAATGCTTGAGGGCCCTGGTTTCCTCCCGTCCATGTCTTTCATCCCCTCTACATATCGAGCAGCCACCTCGTGCATGAGCTCCTCCCCCGTCTTCCCTATGAAGGAGACATCTTGTTCAAACTGCAGGCGTTGTTCATATAATCATTTTCAAAGATGTAATGGGTCGGTTAAAAAGGCTGGTTGTTTGCCTTATCACACTAAAGGTCAAGTTGAATTTCTACCATTTTCCTTCCACTTGTGTAGAGCTGTAATAGAGCAGCAAATCAAGGCAAGACTGGAAATTAGATTTAACCTTTAGTTGAGTCTCATGAGGCGGAGGGTGTGGTGTTTGTGTGTCCTGATGAGGCCTCATCAGCGCGGCACTGACTATCAGATCAATCCAATCAATTCCTTGTGTGAAACAAAACAAGCACAGGAGAGACAGAAAATGGGTTCAATGTCATTTTAACCTCACCAGTTGCCAGCCCTTCAGCCGTTGCCAGATGAAGAACTGTGTCGTCGCTCACTGGCCAGTCAGGGAGCTCAGCCTTGATGTTCTTCAGACCACCAAGCTCCTTCAGTTCCTGCAAGGATAGAAAGGACAAGGCTAGACATTTTAGCAGTGGTTTAGTTTTACCACAAACCCACTGTCTATGTTGGTCTTGCACTGACCTGGTGAATGGCTGGTCCCGACTCATTGTACTCCCACAGCTGGTTCCTGTATCCCAGAGCATCACCAACACCACTCAGCAACATGGCTGCTTTATAGTGCTCCAGTGTAGCAGATCCGCTGGTACACAATGCACAAAGAGACTGTTATCAACTGTTTTGAAGGTCTGATCAAGACCATTCACTCACACTGTATTACAGTAATTTCACATTAAATTTTTTGTTGTTGTTTTGATTTGACACCAGTAACACCACTAATGTTATCTTTCACTATTGCTCATAATAGGATTAAAGAATACTGTGTGGTAATAGGGCCCCCAGCAGCCTGGTTTGGTGGTGCCACCTTGATATGTGTACTGCAATGAAGCACAGTATGATATTAGTATTTTTAGAAAGGTCTCACAGTGGAAAGGAAGGCTTCAACATAATTAAAACGTTGCCAGTAGCCTATATATTTAAATGAAGACTAATAATAATAAAAATATGTGTAGTGAAATACAATCATGGAGAGAAAAGGTAATAATGTACAGTATCTGCAACCAGCTATGTATGTATGTTGATATTCTTGCATATTCCAAATGAATGCCCCCAGAAGTAACATTTTGTCATAACCATATCCAAACATCGATCAAGCAGAAAAGCAAAGCATCTTAAACATTATAGGTTTCTCTCTGGCTTGATTTGAGTTTTAGTAAAAGTTGTTGCACTTGCTCCACGCAGTTGCACCCTCACCGGTTCATTGCAGTGCGTCGGTCCCTGAAATCAAGCTCCACCAGGCGGACACACGCGTTAAGTTGACACCGAGGCTGCAAACCGAAGCGCTGCACACTCACTGCTTACTCTGGGCTACTTTTTTGTTGCTTGAGTGCCGCAGTCCCAGCTCAGAACGGCCTGTTAGCTAACACCAGCAGTCATTCAGAAAAGTTGACAAACCCAGGCAGGGCAGCAGGTCAGTTTGGACTCCTACAAAACGCTGCGGCTAAAAAAAGACGCAGCAGCAAACCACTTTTGGAAGCATGCTTTCCAGCTGGCAGGATGGAGACATGACAAAACAAATGGCACATATTTTGTGTAACAAGAATATAATCATTGACTCGCTCCCAAGCACTCACCATTTACAGCTGCACCACACAGCCTACTAGTGTGACAATCAATAACCTTAATAATACTGAATTATTAACCCCTAATTTAAGGTTAGGAGAAGAATTGATCTAATGCATTTTAGAATAGGTGCTGCAATTTTCAATAGCTTGGCATTGTTTTAGCTTGTTGGATCTGAAAACTAAATAAGAAGCTGAAATAGGGGAGACCGGGTATGGTTGTAACATGGGGAGAGTTGTAACAACACCAATTCCACCAAGTAGAGATAAGATAGGAGTTAGGTGATCATTTCTGTATTTACCTACTTACTCCCAGATCAAGCATGGTGGTTATCAAGTCTGGAAAGAGGTGCATTCAGAATATATAGAGAAAAAATTATTTTGAGGTAAGAAAGTTAATTTTTTGACCAAGACAATTTTTTGTTTAATACCTATACTATTGCAGATATAATTGTTTGACTTATATTAGATTGAAATATAGTTTCTCAGGCAACATGTGACAACATTTTTTCCTTTCTAATTTCAATCCACTATAGTAATACAGCTAGTTAAACATTGGCTGACAGGGGTGGGGTGGGTTGTAACAGTTCTTAAAAAAGTGTTACAACCATCCTCTAAACATAAAACTAGGGACTTTCTTTGATTTTAATATTGTTACAGAGTGCCCTTTGCAGTCTGGGCCCACCAAACCTGCACTCCAGGGTTACCAGCATTAATTTGTCAGCACTGTGACCAGTACTCCCCATTCACATGTTGTACACATTTTGGCGTGTGTATCATCACTCGGTCTCCGCCGGTGGAGAGGGTAGAAAAGTGTATGGGCAGCTTGTGAGAAGTGCCTGTGCGCAAAAAAAGTCCCGGTACGCCAAAGAGTAAAATATAGAAGTGCTGGTATATGTACCGGTGAATACAGGCCCAATTCAAGCACTGACTGTGACTCTGAATAAGAATATACATACATTGACACACACACACATACATCTATTTTTAGTTAGACCTAAGGATGTACTAATTCTTTCAAGTTCTTTTATTAGGAACATTGTAGTAGTATTTATTAAGTATACTTTTAAGTAAGTTTATTCTAAAGATAAATTTACATACACATACTGTTCATGCAAATGAGTCATCAGACAAAGTCTGTTACAGCAAGAGTGAAACATTGTTCTTTGATATCACTACCTGTTTTTAAAGCATATCATACAGTGTGGCATCTATTTTTGATTCTTTTGTGTGATTGTTACAACTTACCCCAGCATGTGTTACAACCTACCCTGCTATTGGGGCAGGTTGTAACAAGGGAACACAATGCATTTGACATCAACTCACGAGGTCTGTGATATTCTTGTAGAGGATTGAATTGGTGCTATTTGTAGTGAACATATGTGGGTACTTTCTGAAGCAAAAAGTGTTACAACCATACCCGGTCTCCCATAATGGTAAAGCTAGTGGAGAGATGATTGTCAGTTGAACTGGCTGCTTATTGACAAACTTTAATACATTTGAGAGTCTGTTCCAGATCCTCTCTGTCTGTATGTCTCTCATGCTCCGCTCTTATCAGGGGTGAGTAAATCTATCCCTGTTGTCTTTCTGACAAGATGTTGAACTGTTGAACTCTGTGTAACCCGTGGCGAGATAATCCAGGCAGATCACAGCCTGGGTCCCTCCTCTGCGCTTCCCCACTGGCACTGTCACTTCTACAACCAGGTGAGATCAATACACTTCTTAATCCAATCACTTCTTGAATAAAGTTCAATATAGATCTTTCATTCAATGATTTTATCCAGCAAAGCAGAGGCTGTTCATCTTGAGCTTGAAAGAATTAACTCAAACACTGTTTTTCAAAATAACCGTATAATCACCGTAACGTGAATATGCTTTTACTTTCGGCAGCAAGACGATGTATGTGGAATGATTCCAAACAAACTCAGTGCACATGTCACCCAGTCCAATGATGTTGATTCAGGGCTGGACTGGTAATCTGGCATACCGGGAAATACCCGGTGGGCCGACACACCTTTAAAAAAATGCTTTTAAAAAATTGGACAATGATTGGCCCATAAAGCATGGACAGCGGCCGATTGGGTAATTTTCTATAGCCTACTGACATTGGGCTGGCCCAATCACATCTCTTACTGGCCCCCTCCCCCTCTGCCCTCTGTTTCTTGCGTTGCAGGCCAAAAAAAAAACATTCTTCAGATGGAGCCCAGCAAATGCGCGAAAATAACCGATATGTTTGCTACCGGGGGTGCAGTAGTTTTAACATCAGCTGCAATACCATGCGTAGTGCATGCACAGGCACTTGAAGGAGTAAAGGCGAGCCGTGGACACTGCCAGGCAGTGGAAGAGGCTGTGTTACCATGCAGAGCAGAGGGACAAAGTGACAGGGCCCAGGGAGAGAGAGCAGGAGGAGAGTGGAGGTGAAGCGGTAAGGATGGAGAAGCTCAACCTGTAGGGAGGGGACAGGGAGGGAGGGTAATTTACACTGGGGACACTGGGGACATGTAACCACCACTACTGAAAGTATTCCTTAAAAATGTTCTGAAAAATAGCTTGCACCAAGAGATGTTAATTAAATAAAATAAATAAAAATGCTATGAGAAAGATTTATTTGCACAATAAGCCTGCAATGCATTGTTAATATAGATGAAACCTCTCTGTTTTCCAAAAAATGTAACTTAAGCTAAAAAATAATAAGCTACTGATTACTGCATTCTTAAATTTTTATATTCTGAATTGTCACCTTCCACCTTTTGTGCTTCCATTTATAAAAATAAAAACATTTCCACCATAAATTGGTGTAGAAAATGTCTCCACAATGCAGGAAATTAAGTGTTTAATGCTCAGAATCTTCTGGGGGAAGACACCCAGACCCCCAATCAAATATTTCATCAACAAATATTTTTTCTAAATAGTAGACATTATTATTAAACAATATTCTTGCCTTGTAGTCATGGGCACCAATCTTGTGCAATGTCATGTCTCAGTGTTTCATCACACCCCTAATTTGACCCCCTAAATGGAAGGGGCGGTGTACTGGTGAGGGGTGTCCGACCGATTTTGGTGGGCCACAAATGCCAGGGCTAATTTTTTGTCCCAGTCCAGCCCTGTGTGGATTTAATCTTTCTGGACAACAGTCGAGATCTACATCCGACTTGGGCTCCATAGGTCATACTGGTTAGGATTAATTCATTGTTGGTTTTGGTCTCTTCATAGGATTTGTTGACAAAAGTGAAGTCATAGCTGTACAATAATGTTCCCTGTTAGTGTGGTTCTTATAACAGAGAGAAGAACTGAGGAAAATAGAACCGTAGAGTTCTAGAACGCCACATTGCATAGAGTCAATGACATCACAATACAATGAAGATGAAGAACAGACTGCTGTGCTGAGATCAGCACAGACTTAAAACACATTACAGCACCTGCAGTTTTTCCTTGGAGACAAACAATTTTTCAGAAATACATATTTCTGCGACAGATGACCATCAATTTGTAACTGGTCTGTAAATTTTTAGTTTTACAGGCCCCGGACGTAAGGTAAGCCCACACCAATCAGCCATAATATTATGACCTCTGACTTATACAAGGTACAAGGTTGTTTATTTGTCATTATACAGCACAAGGCTGCATAACGAAAGGAAATTTGTAGTTCCTTCATGCTGCTCACAACATATAATTAAGTGTATATTAAAATATGTTAACATATCAAGTAAAACAATATATAGTTATTTATATCTATACACATTTTGCAGTGCATTTTTGTAATTTGCATCTGGGGTGAATGTAAACAGTAGCAACCAGATGATAATATGGTTTCATCTTCACAATAAACAGTCTGACATTTGGGAAACAGTGTGCATCTTGACTGCTTTTGAACACCAAGCATCATTGTCCACCTCCTCTCATCTTGACAGAGTCTTGCACTGATAGTTCGGAACATGGACAACCTGCCGAGTGATTGATCCATGATGTTGATGGGGCAGGTCTCTGTAATGATGTAGTCACCACAGTCTCTGAATTCCGTTGCTTGGTCAACACGAGTCCCATTATCATGGCACCTGTCAGTGGGTGGGATATTAAGGGAACATTGTGTCCTCATAGTTGATCTGTTAGAAGCAGGTAAAATGGGCAAGTGTAAGGATTTGAGTGACTTTGACAGGGGCCAAATTTTGATGGCTAGGTGACTGGGTCAGAACATCTTCAAAATGGTCTGCAGTGGTCAGTACCTATCAAAAGTGGTCCAAGGAAGGAAAAGCGTTGAATCGGCGGCAGGTTCATGGACGGCCAAGGCTCATTGATGCATGTGGGGAGCAAAGGCTGGCTTTGTTTTGTTTTGCAAACTTGTTCACTATGTGTTATATTAATCTGCTGGTAATGACAGCCCACAAGGGCATAGTGTTGACCTATTGAAGCCCTAGTCAAGGAATGACTCAGACTGAATAAAAATGAGTTTTGCATATTAAGTTTAAATGAATTCAAACAAAAAATTTAATCTGAAGACGCGAGGCTTGTGTACTAAACATGTACAAATATCTATCTTAGACTATTACATTAGAGGGGACACCTACCATGTAGACTCAGTTTCATGGGAAAAGGGTTGTTGGTCTTTTAAGGTCAGAGTAAGTCTTAGGAGAATGAATATAAGTCAGTGCAGTGTTACAAAAACATTTGCAGTAGGATGGACAACATTTTAAAATTGTAAGATGATTTTGAGTTCTTTGTCTGATCTATTCAGTGAAAATGGATGGAAGAGAAGACGCTCTGATGTTCAGTTTTTCCAAAAGTTATTTAAGGGAGACTGATTCACGGTTCAATTATTTGGATGGTAATGGTAACATAATTCTCTAGCTGTTCTTGCTGGCCCAGAGTTTCGGCTAAATATTTTGCCAAGAGGCGATCACCCACCAGCTGATCAATTTAACCCTGGGCTCGTTGCCTGGATGGAGTTTCTCTTGAATCATGCAGTAGATGACTTTGGCTTTCTTATGGTACTGGAGCAGCTGGAACCTAGCAACAATGAAAACCATGAAAATGATCAAAACAATGAAAATCATGAAAACATTGCCAACCTCGACCACAATGACAACCTCCACAACGAGAATATAGATGACAATGCTGATAATGACAATGTTATC